ACCCGGGACACCGCTAACACCCGGGACACCGCTAACACCCGGGACGCTGCTAACACCCGGGACACCGCTAACACCCGGGACGCTGCTAACACCTGGGACGCCGCTAACACCCAAGAAACCGCTAACACCCGGGACACCGCTAATACCGGGGACGCTGCTAACACCCGGGACACTGCTAACATCTGGGACGCTCAGGAATGGAAAAGAAAAATCACAATAATGCTGGTCAACACTGTAAACACGATCACTAAATACAGTTGGTTGCTGAGTTCGGAAATGTTGCATTTCTGTAAAAATTCAAGCCTTGAACTTTTATTTTTCATTTCTTTTCTTGCTGAACTTTCTCTCAAATAACTGACCAATTATTTATTTGTTTATTTATTTATTTAACCTTTATTTTTACAGTCTCATTGAGTCACGAGGTCTCATTTTTAAGACAGACCTGTTTGAGAGCAGACGGTGGGTGGTTAAAGGCCTTGCTCAAGGCCCAGAATGAGCAAAGTGAAGGTGGAGACAGGTGTGGGAGCTTTACCTTTTCCACCCACACTGTGATATTGTCAGTTCGGGAAGTCGAACCTGCGACCTTCCGATCACAGGCTCACCTTCCCTAACCTCTGTGCTACCACTCCCTAAATTCAATTTTAATTGTAGTCTACTGGATAAAACCATAAACAAATGAATAAATAATATAATAAACTGAGCAGCACGGCGGTGCAGTTGGTAGAGCTGCTTCCTCTCAGCGAGCAGGTAACCCTGGTTCAAATCCTGGTCCGGGGGCCTTTCTGGGTGGTGTTTGCATGTTCCCTCTGTGCATGCGTGGGTTTTCTCTTGGTACTCCAGTTTCCTCCCATAGACCAGAAACATGCGCGTTAGACTGATTGGTAACTCTACATTGTCCCTAGGTGTGAGTGAGAGAGTGAATGGTTGTTTGTTTATATACCCTGTGATGGACTGGAGACCTGTCCAGGGTGTCCCCCGCCCCTTGCACAGTGATGGGCATCAGCAACCCACCCCCGACCCAAAAAGGACGAAGTGGGTAAAGATAATGGATGGATGGATGGATGGATAGAATAAAATAAACATCCAATACACTGTAGGGCTCCATAAAATCTGTTTTTCTATTTTATGGTGCAACCTTTTTTTTTCAACAAAAATTATTATGAGATGTTACATCAATCAGATTTTAAATGTGAAAATATCCCAATTTAAACAGAAACGCAGCAGGACCTGTTTACATTAAGCTGATTCTTGAAGGTTTAGTGAAGTGCTTAAAAACCTGCCAGTAAAATCTAACCGTTTATAATGTCCTTTTGCAAAATTGTATTTGTTTCATGTCAAAGCAAGAAGCAGGATTTTCTGTAAAACAAGTGTTTTTTTTCTAGTTTAACCTAAACTTCACTCAGCGTTTTGTAATTACTAAAAGTAAATCTAGTTTAAATATCTGAGCTATATCTAATATCTGAGAATATTCTTACTCTTTGTTAAAATCAGGTCTCTCTTGGTAATGAGTCCCAGAGGCTCAATGGGATTAACCTGTATAAATAAAGGTTGAATGAATGAAAATTCAGAAGCAGAAGAGAGCATACTGGCAAAGAGGGATATGTTTTTTTTTTTTTTTTTTTTTCAAATAATCATGTTGTTTTTTCCAGATATGCTGTTTTTGTGATTGTTCGGAGCAAAACTCAAAACTGCAATATTAATTATTTTCACGCCCCTACCTGCCATCTTTCTGTCTCTCTCTAAAGCACACCCCAGTCACCCACCAGTACCTTCACATCCTTGGTGTTCATGCGCGTGCCCTCTTTGCCAACAAAAATATCATCTATATCCACGAGTACGTGCCGGTCCAGACCCAGAGTCAGCTTCCTGTCTGTGAGGTAGGAAATGGCATCCACCAGGATGAGTCTGTGCAGCCAGTAGCCCAGTCCCTGGCCAAAGAGCACTCGTCTCACCCCGTCGTAAAGTCCCATGTCCTGCACCACGGTGGCCTGGAGGCCTAGACTGAACCCGGGCCCCGCATTATCTCCGCTGCCCGCCCCTGCTCCATCTTTAGCCCGTGCATGCAGCACAGCCTGATACGTGGAGTGATTCGAGGAGAATGAGGTCCAGTCCTCCCCAGGTAAGGCCCCTCGATCTGTGCCAGGTTTGGTCAAGTGGAGGAGAGGCGAGCTAGACACAACGCAGCAGTCCCAAAGGGCCTGGTTGGTCCTCAGCACCAGTGGCAGGCCTTTGAGTTTGAGGACAGATGGGGAGTTCTCAGTGGAGCGGTAGAAGCCAATGATGCCAACTCTGTACTCCGTACAATATTGATGCAACAGCTGTCTGTTCCACGTATCTGCATGTGCATATTTCAACAGATTCTCATAAATGATGAGCGAATATCGTCCGCGGCCTTTTTCTGTCAGAGGTGGAAGGTCGCCCTTTCCTGAGGCAATCTCCATGCGGAACTGGAAATGGGCAGACTCCAGTATAGCCACAATGTCCTGTCCTAGCAGGGAGTACTGCGACTCTACCAGCACCAGCACAATCGGGTCAGTCTGTACATGTGTGTGCGGGGGGTTAGGAGGATACGGGTACGGGAGCTGACGGTAAGGCGACATGGAGAGCGGCTGGGAGCAGGCAGGCTCGACTGATTGTCCAAGGTGCATGGAAGGAGAGGAGTTCGTAAAGAGGAAGTAGGCGGAGAGGAGAAGAGAGAGGAGGCAGCAGGAGGCCAGTAGGAGCAGGAGTCTACGTAAGTGGCGACGGAATCGCACAGCCACTGTCATCTCGAACTGTCGACTTATTGTGTGCCAGACAAATGGGTGTGTTTTGAAATTAGCTGGCATCTAGAAAGCGCATGTGCAGGTGTTTGGAGATTGTCTATGTGTGCAAGACAGGAGCAAAGCCACTCAGGGGTACGTCATGTCACCATTGCAGGGGACTGAAGAAGCTGCGCTGGATATCAGGGAACAGAGGTCTGGACTGAAGAAAGACAGCCGAGGTACACGCCTTCAGGTCCTCACAAAGGAGTCACATGCAAAGATGGCGTAAGCGATGGTGAATATCTGGAAAAAAAAGAGAAAAAGGAGGGGAAAAAGAGTGAATTTGTTGTGAGTAGTTGAAAGGTGTGTGTGTGTGTGTGTGTGTGTGTAAAAGAGTGAGTGAGAGAGAGAGACTGAGTTGTGCCACCCTGGGGAATGTAAGGGCACAGCTGGTAACTACAGAGCTGATTGAAAACAACTTGCATCCTTTGGGCTTAGCCTGTCTATGGCACACACACACACACACACACACACACACACACAATGACATCCCAGTTAAAACACGACAGAAAAGTCAATCCTCCCAAATAAACAACAGCTGGTTGTGCGTTCATGTGGCCGTGTGGGGAGGTGGACGGCAGCTCAACCAATCAGTCCCATAAAGCTCCGCGGAGAATTCCTCTAATTGTGCCAAACTCTGAGCACCTCTGTCCTATTTCTGAACCTAATCATCTGAAATACCACAAAATTAGAGTTGAAATCCTTTTGCCAGGAGCACTAATCTGGGGGGTGGGTGGGGGGGTGGGGATACTGAGAACCCATGACAGTACTGAGGAAATGAAGTGCAAGAGTAAGAGGGACAGAGGAAAAAGAGAGCAGTGAGAGGAACAAAACGCAATGAATTATAGAAATGGACAAAAAAAGAGCAGGATTAGCATCTTAATGTATGTGCCGGGAGCCAGGGTGAAGAAAAGATCCCACAGCATCTTTCTTCTCTCTCTCTCTCTCTCTCTCTCTCTCTCTCTCTCTCTCTCTCTCTCTGTGTGTGTGTGTGTCTGCACCCCTGTTCTCTACTTCTATCAGTTTGAATATCAATAGCCTTTCCTTGGATTCTCCATCCAGCATTGCTTGTTCTTCACTTTGAGTGAACACAAGCAAAAAGGCCATGGGGGAGGGATGCCATTTGTATACCCCTAACATGATATCAGAAAATGCACAGATGGAGGGAAACTGTCTTTTTTTGTACACAAATTGGATTACTTGTTTCAGTCTATGTGATATTCTAGTGATGCAACCTGTAAAAATGTAGCGTGCTGTGTGGTACCAACAGATAATATGAGACAAAAAAACAACAACAACAAAAACGTTTAGCTGTTTATGTGGAGGAGGTTTGTTGAATCTAATGGATTTTAAAAACTGGTTCAACCTGTTACTGAAGGTGTGTTACTCGTAGCGGCCACACGGGGGCGCTCAGACTGGTTTAACAATGACTTCACGTGGAAGTTTTATGCCACAAATTAACTCACAGAACTATATATATATATATATATATATATATATAGTCCAAAAAAAACTATATTTTATTTATTGCTAACAAACTGCAATTAATTCTAAAGTTAGTGGAACATATTTAGACTATAAACATACTTAAAATTCCAGTGATGTTGCAAACAATAAAACTAAACTAATTTCTGTCAAATACCAAATAATGTGCAGCGCGTGAAGTCAAACAGCAGGTCAGAGTTTCTGCTGCTGAAGTTTATTTTGGTCATGAAGGATGGATGGAGGGAGCACCGACTCCTCCACTTACCCCTACCCCGGCTTGGGGGGCTGCTGGGCGGCGGAGCGGCGCTGCGGCGGCGGCTGGGTCCGGGGCTCCGGTGTCGGTGTTCCGGATGCTGAGGCGTTGTGCCATCTCCCCCCTTCTTCTCTCCCCCTCCTCTCTCTCTCTCTCTGCGCCTCCTCTTCTGCCGGAGTACCAGGGGCAGCAAGGAGTCGGATCTATCCCCTCCCTTGCGTCATCTTTCCCCCCTCCAGGAGAATCTCCGCCGGCTCAGGTGGACATCCGGTCCGCGCGGCTTCACGACTGGCTGCCGCGCGCGTGAACGCTGTGCTTTAAGAGCGCCCGCACAAGCCGAGGCGATGGAGGGAGAGACAGGAGGAGGGGGGGGGAGGAGGAGGAGGAGTGGGGGGTTGATTGACACAAACAGCCTCCCCCCTCCGCTCAGGCATCAGATACAGCGTGGGTAAAAGCTCGCGGTCCGTTTAGTTACTCGGAAGAGGGATGCCGCGCGCACGCACGTGCACACACGCAGACAAGTTGGAGCACTCAGGGATTGAAGGAAGAAATAAGGACCATAATCTGGGAGAGCATCAGATGATCCAACTCATGTTTTATTTTCACCAACACAAACATCCGGTCAGGTCTTTGTTTTTGTTTATTTGTTGTTTCTCCACCAGGAGCTTGTCAGTCAGAGTGTTTAACGTGATCAGGTGTTCCCCTTTCACTCCGCGCCACTTCATCAATCTCTGCAGCCCATTTGTTGTGCCACACAAGCCTCAGCAGAGCTGCTGTGGCCTTCATTTACAATGGTGTGTGTGTGTGTGTGTGTGTGGGGGGGGGGGGGGTTAAACTCAGAGAGAAGCACCATTATGGCAGCACCATTGTGTTCATTCACATGAGCTGAATTTTAGAAACAGTTAAAGTGAAAAGATGAAGTGATCTGCTCAAAGGTTAGGATGTGTTGTCGTCTTTCTTTAGCTACATCATTTGTTAATCCGTATTACCACTCGCTTCCTCCATTTTTGTTATGTTTGCAACTCTTCTTGTAACTTTCAGATAAAAAACAAAGTTACAAATGAACCCCTTTCCTTGTAAATGATTGAGCTACTACCACACCAGATGTCAGCACCGTGCGTCACTGAATTATACACGTTTTGTGTTTTCAGGCCGGCTGGTTGCGGCAGACATCAGGGGCGATTCTAGGATCTGGACTTTAAGGGGTGCTTAGCCCCCAGTGCAATAGCTCTTGGCTTGAACAAGCACCCCATGGTGTGGTTTGTGAGAAGTACAAAGGCTTATGACACCTGGTATTACCAGGGAGTCTCCCATCCAAGTACTGACCAGGCCCGACCCAGAGCTTGTGACTCCGAGATCAGAAGAGATCGGGCGTGTTCGGTACGGTCATAAACGAGGAGCTCCGTCACAAACAGACCTTTTAAAGGATCAGAGCAAACAAAGACTAAACTTATGCAGCCAGAAGTTACAACGTACACATACAAAACACAAAGCAAAGCACAACGAGTTTTAAGCGTTAACCTTTAATTTATCCGTTGTCTTTATGTCAAAATGTACCTGCAGTTACCTTCAAACAGATGAACATGAGGTACTTCCAGTTTATCACTGTTGTATTCAGCTGCACATGGGGTCAGCCACCAGCCTTTATCTTTATCTTTTACTTTGCACATTTTTCCAGACTCCGTTTAGGTTTTGGAAATGTAATAAACTGTATTACATCCTCTAAACCAGGGGTGTCAAACTCGCTTACAAAAGGGGGGCAACATTTACCCCTTTTTCAAACTAAGGGCCAACTTCAGAATCTACATGAACTCAAATCAGATACCAACATCTTTTCTTGGTCACAGGTTCCTCAACAAGAGTTTGATTGGTCTCATATGATGCTCTCTGTTGTGCTTTCGACGTCATAATCAACGATTACTGAAAACATTCAAGAAATAGAAGTATTTTACGTTTCACATATCATCTTGGGGGCCAGATAAGATTACAACGAGGGCCACATTTGGCCCCCGGGCCTTGAGTTTGACACATATGCTCTAAACGTTCATGGTAAAGTGTCTAAATTGCGTGATCCCACTGACAACGTTTAATCATTTATTTCTGATGATTTTTCACAAAACTCCTCTGACTGCAAAGTGTAGAGGAAACGGGGTGCAGCTCCTGCAGGTAAGGGGCGTTTACCTTCAGGACAAATTAAGATCACTGATTGGTCAGTTGCTGACCAGCGTACTGAAATGATTGACAGGTGGCTTTGAGGATGTGAATTATGTAAAAAAAAAATCATAGATTTGACTGGCTCCATTAAGACTGTCATCATTTATTCTATAAATATTCCAAATGTATCCAATATTTTGGTGAATCTAAGGTTTGATAACTGAATTTCCTCACAAAATACTAGTGATGTTTTTTTTATTATTCAGGGGTGCTGAGTTAAAATTTAGGGGTGCTTCAGCACACAGAAAAAGAGGCTAAAATCACCACTGGCAGACATCTTGAATCAGGTTAGTTGAAGATGTTCATCCATTGACTACTTCCTGAAAGTGGAATTAAAACTTGTCGAATGGTTCATGTGTTTTGCTTACAGACACACACCGTTACACACACAACTTATAAATATAATACAACTAAACAGGCATTTGTGTCTTGTTAAACCCACTGTGTCTCTGATGAATAACAGTTTTCCTTCCGAGAAAGCACACATCCGATCTCTCAGTGACTCCCATTACAGGAGCTCGTGACTTCACGAGTTTCTCCAGGTTTAAACGCTGTAAAATATAAACATTGATATGTAAAGATCTGAAAGAAACGGTTTGAAATGGTTTTTGCACACTCACTACTTGTTCGAGGCTTATTTTCTGTTCTTATCTGCATTATGTCTGCCTGTCCTGTCAGAAGCTGTTCGTCAGTGTTAGCATTTCAAACAGAAGCTTCAATGGAACGCCTTAAAATGTATTCAGAAATGTTATGGTGCAATTTAAGTTTTTTACCAAACATCACAGTTTGCAGTAGTCCTAAGACCTGTTTTTGTTCTTTCCATTGAAATTGTTAATACAAAATTGTAATGACTTTATCTTTCTGGCTCTTTTACAGATGTTTGATTCTGTTGAGCTCACGGTGAAGTATCTATAAACCCTCAGCTTGTGAGTGTTCAGGTGCTCTTAGTGGAGTTTGAGTTGCATTGTGTTTTCTTTTTCAAGCGATTTTTGTTTCATCAGGTTTTTACTGACAGAGTGCCATTGAACGCCACACCGGCCCAAAGCTTGATCGATGTTTTTATTCAATTCTGCACCTTTCCTCTCTCCAGCCCCACCATTGTTCACTGAAGGGAAACGTTTCTGTATATTTTTCATCAGAGCGCAGGAGTTTATTCCAAAATGCGTCAGCCTTGTTTGGAAAGTTCACCTGACTTTCTGCGGTGAGGCTGCTGCTTGGAGATCCTGGTTTTACCTTTCAGCCTTTCTGAAGCTTTTCTGCAACCCTTTATTGTGGCACCTGTTTCATTTTTACCCTACAAGACTGTACGTACAATTTTTGATCAATTTAGCAATTACTTACACTGGGTTTGAAAACATAATGTGCATTCTAGATCTTGAGAAAAACTCTTTAAATGTGTTATACATGCTATTTACCCCCCTCCTGAGCATGTGACAGTGTGGCAGGCACTGATTTCTCTTCTGTTTGATGGAGCTTTACTACAAGGGCTGACATTTTCCAGCAATTCTACAGGCAGTTTTATTGATTTATTTATTATATGCAAAGAACTAAGGCACCGGCTTGCTTTAAACACTTTTTATTTAGCTTTGTCTCTCTTTGTGAGCATCAACTCTCTGGATGGTTTTGGTGAAAGGGTGGTAAAAAAAGGAGCAAAGTTTGGGGAGTAATATATTTAGAGAACCGTAAACTATATATTTTTCCCAAGCTGGCTTGAATGACTCTGAATGAGTCATAACCTTTAAAATGTAATTAAAGTCTGAGACCTTTATAAAACTTATTTCAGAGCTCAGAATTCTCAAGATGTCAAAGCTTTTGTAAACACTTTTGTTTTTTTTCCCACCCTAAAACTGTTGAAAGCAAATAAAAAACCATAATATTAAAAATCTGCTGCTCTGAGAATGTGCTGGAGAACACTCTCAGCTACTACCACGCCAAACATTAGCTCAATATTTAAAAAAATTGACCATGTTATAGCCACTTCTGTGTTTGCTAAGATCAACCAGCTGTGGCTGCCATCTTGAGTTGTGCTGACTCCAAAACTTCATCAGTTGCAGATATATATTCAATATTTACTTTCTAAAAGTGTCATTGAAATCCTTCTACCATACTTGCCACTGTAGACGGTGTAACACCGTATAAGTCGCATCAGTCCAAATATAAGTGAAAAAAATTAATAAATATGTTGCTTTATCATATTAGTCGCATCTATTATCCATCACCGCCGCTGACGCGTCGCGTTTGTTATGTGTCATCGCTGACAACCCGGAAATGTGGCCTGGTGTTGTGCAAAAAATCGACTGGCTGCCAAATAGCAGACGTGGGATCGTGCACGGGAGGACTTTAACAACAATTTAACAAGATTAACACTTAAAAATAATTATTTGTTTGCTCCAAATTATAGCAAAGGTGTGTCTCAGTTTAACTTTTCTGTAATAAATGGACTTTAATTGTAAAATTAGCTGCATTTCAAAAGCCCATTCATGGCCACGGGAGCACACAGAGGGAGGGCTCGCTGTGCCTCTCTTCGAAATTTAACAAAATAACCACCTAAAAACAATTATTTGTTGGCTCGACATTATAGTAAAGGTGTATTTCAGTTGAACTTTTCCTTAATAAATGCACTTTAATGGTCAAATCAGCTGCATTTCGCCTGGGCGGCGCGGCAAAATGCATCTGATTTGACGTTTGCTCCAGGAGTTCCGGAGCGAGACGCAGGTGGCTTGGTATGGCAAGCCAAGTGTCTCATCATTAGGGGTTGAACGACTACATAATTTTTAAACTCGACATTAACATAATTAAACTCGAGTAGAACTCGAGTAGTTGATAACATCATAGGATTTCAAAATGCAAAAATAAATAAATAAGACCGCAAAAAAAGTAATTATTTAC